AATTTGTGTACGATCATTGCATCAGATCTGAAAATATCAATATTGTACTCACTGGTTTTGTGATCGAAAGGTAGTTTTTTCGTATAAAAAATATATGAGTTATAGATTATATAATTTGTGTGTTTTTTATGAAAAATAACATGCTCCCCGCAGGTGACAAATATTTCGACCACAGCCGTGATACTGTTTTATTTAACTCCTATTTGAAAACAGATTGCGGAGAGACTGAATTGTTCATTTTCTTTTAAAAAATATACGACTGAAAACTTATTTCGTCAAATTTTGGCCCTTGCTATCCCCCAAGCCCCCGGATACATTCCAATATAAAAATAAATTAACACCATCAAATCTTTTTATTCCAAAATACATTTCGACGATGAATATTAATATTATACGTTTTTAATCATAACCTAAATTATAGTTTGTAAAATTAGTAGCAGGTGTGAATATTTATATTATGTATGCATGTCAAAATGGCTAATACATGCTCTCGTGTTTATGTTCATGTGATATAAAGTGTAAATAAATTAGACAATAACTGAATACCAGTGTCTTGTTTTAGTTACAAAACAAATGTTCAAGCTTCATTATCAAACAGATTTAAAATACTAGAGTTCTGCTTAAACGCAACAACTGATTAGGACAAAAACTGAAAAACAATATGGCTATCTTTAAATTAAATTAAAAATAGATTGTGTCATGCAAGACTCGCCATTTGAATAATTTACAAAATGAATTCAGCCTTCAGGAATCATGCGGGATTTATGCACAAGGTAGCTTCTCAAATAATTACACATTTTTTTTATTAAATTTTCGATTTCATTTGGTACGCCTGTGCGCATTTGGCGTAATATATGCGACACGCCAATGATAACTGTTAAAACAAAAACATGCACATCAATTTCCGTTTAAATCCTGTACGAATCCTGAAGGCTGGATTCATTTGTAAACTATATTATATATGAATCCTGCTTGGATCCTGGCTACAGGATTTATTTGCAAACTACCTTCTATATGAATCCTGTATGAATCCTGAAGGCTGGATTCATTTGTAAACTATATTGCATATGAATCCTGTATGGTTCCTGAAGGCTGGATTCATTTGTAAACTATATTGCATATGAATCCTGTATGATTCCTGAAGGCTGGATTCATTTGTAAACTATATTGCATATGAATCCTGTATGATTCCTGAAGGCAGGATTCATTTGTAAACTATATTGCATATGAATCCTGTATGATTCCTGGAGGCTGGATTCATTTGTAAACTATATTGCATATGAATCCTGTATGATTCCTGAAGGCAGGATTCATTTGTAAACTATTTAAACAGCGAATCCTGTATGAATCCTAGAGGCAGGATTCATACAGGATTCATATGTGCATATGAATCCTGTATGAATCCTGGCTCCAGGATTCAGTGGTTTGATTCACATTTTTTGCTGTGAATGTATTAAACTAAATCAGAATATCGCTTTATTAGTTTGTTTATTGTTGAGACTTTTTGAACGCCGCATCAATGACGATTTAAATCCAGATTCGTCTTTAACGTTTGGGCGCGACCTTCCAATACACCGGGTGTTGGCTCAATTTTGGCAATTCTTAGAAATGCGTCGGTAATCTTAAGCTGCGTCGTTATCATTAGCCGTTAGGTTAAAGGCAGCCGGGGATGGTGTAAGTTTGACTTGAATATCTATGTTATTCAACAAATATTTTTCAATCTTAAAGATGTCAGCGTGCAATGGACCCGCCATTTTAACCTCCAAACTCTCGATCGGGTGTGCCATTCTCCTTAGGAATCTATTATTTTTGGAGTCAAACCCGTTATGGTCATTACCTAGACTGGCTTCATCCTTAAAATACATTTGGGATGATAAGTAACCTTGCATATATGCCGCTGATGTGTTTAGTACTGTTTGAATATAACTTGTGTACGGGTAATAAGGTCCCGATGTTGAAATTGATTTTTGCTGCATTTGAACATCCACTTGTGAGAATAATGAATGTAACCAAAGATTAGCGCAAGTAACTTTGGGTGCAGATGCCGCCGGGTCGTTTGGATCTAAAGGCAATGGACTCCCATCCGGCATGGTTATTTTTGCCTTGACGAATAACACTGTTTTACTCAAATCTAAGTAACAGGATCTTAAGAGGTTCTGGACAAATCATTTGATTCTGGACTTGTCATATTTTTTTTTCAACGAAATCACATCCAAGGGTTGAATTTTTATTAGCTATTTAGAGAGTGAGTCCTGCCTAGTATTAATTTCAATAAAAAAGTTAAAATAGAACCCTATTTGAGAGTCAATCTAATACATTACATTGATAAATTAAGGCAAATCCTGAAATATTTTTAAAGTGCATTTTTTATGAAATATTATCCAGCAAGTATTTAAATGAAACGGTCTTATTTAAATACAAATCATAACATGATATTTTTCATGAAACATTTTTCAATGAAATTCAATTGAAGGGCCAAGATAAAACGAGCTAATTTAGGTGAAAACCCTTACATGATGATGTGTTTTCATAACTTCTTTCATAAAATTCCATCAAGGGGTGAAGATAAAATGATCGAATTTAAGTGAATTAAGGATCACGAGAATATGTTTTCTTTGATATTTTCTATGAAATCCCATCCAATGGTCAAGGTAAAATTTTGATTTTGATTTTGATTTGGTCACGTGTTCGAAAGATCCATATAAGGCCCATAGAACCATATAGGAACGTCATTTTGAATGTCACGTGATAGATCCATATAAGGCTTTTAGAACCATTTATGGAAAGATGAGGGGAAGCCCCTGACACCTGTTTCACGATTTTTATGCACTTCATTATTGTACCGAAGTTTGCCGATTCGATTCGTCGTATTTCGGAATCCTGGTGTCAATTTTATACTCCATTGGAGTATTTTTGACCTACTTCTTATGACGGAAATTCCCGAACCTTGTTCGGATTAATCCGGATTTTCTGACCTACCTTATCTACCGAGATTTCACGAGTTAACATTCGTCTCATTCCGGAATCCTGGTGACAATTTTATACTCCATTGGAGTATTTTTGATCTACTTTTTCTGGATTTTGCCCTACTTATTATATCTTGACAACAAGCAAATCAAAAAGTTTGACATGAACGGGTCTCGATCAACTAACCTAGACTATGGAAGCCAGGCACGCTAACCATTAGGCCAACGAGCTACCGATATGAAAGAACAAAAGTATTATATATTTATACCGAGCGTCAATTCAAAATGATCCTCACTTTTGTCTCCACTTAAATACGACTCGTCAGTTGTATCCAGAATAGTAGAACGCCTATGGCGCTAGTGAATAACCAAGTCCCAGGTGAGTGGTTCGTATCCCTCCGTGATATACTATTTTTGTTTTATTAAATACGACAGAAAGGAGCAAGGTGTAGGTTGAAAACAAGACGTTCGTTTGTTTCAAAACAGTTTGGAAACATTAATAGTACAATAACGTCATTTCTAAGGGCGATATAGTGAAATATTGGACCAAGGGCCGAAGGCCCAAGGTCCAATATTTCACTATATCGCTCGCAGAAATGACGTTATTAGTATTATTACCACCGTTAACGACCAGGACTGAAACAGCAAGAAAATCTTACGCATTGAACGTTATCTAATTTCCCGGGGAAAATTGCCGGTCCAGAATATATTCTAGACCGGTCCATATGGACCACCACTATGACGTCACACATTTCTCAGGTCGATATAGTAAAATAAACGCCTTCTAAACTAGCACTAAAACCCCTAGAACTGGCCCGGCAAGGTGGTAATAATCTCTGATAATTTAAGATTTTCCACTCCTGAAGGGCCTCTAGATCTATGAAATTCAATAATCCACTCAGTAAAAATACGATTTCTCTGCAACCTGATGTCCAATCAAGATCATTCAAATATATATGTGTTCCTGACACGTTTGGGCGTCCGGGAATAAAATTGCTTGTGAAAACTATTTACAAAAGTGTTCCAGAGACCCTTATCTACTTGGATAAGGTTTTATTTGAAGATACATTGCCTTATTAGCAGGTAGAGGGGCATACAGAAAACAGAAGCAAATGCTATGTTGAAAATTTTCTATATTTCAATTTGAACCTGTGTTTACATGTCACGTAGGCCAGTGTTTTATATGGGGATTATATGTACTTTCCTTGTTTACATGAACGTAAATCATTACATGAAATCTGCATTCTTCTGGGTTTAATCTGGGTTTGTATTGTCTTATTGGGGCTTTTCGACTTTAAAACAAACCCTACCTAAATGGATTGTGTCTCGGGAACGTTTTTGTAAATAGTTATTATAAACAATTCTGAAAGAATATCACATATTTTTGTCTTCCCGATTTCAGTCATGAATTACGTCAATTTCTCGTGCTAACATTGGGTAGACGTTGTCATAACCGGATGCCCGAACGTGTCAGGAACATATAGATACTCGAATGATGTTGATTGAACATCAGGGTTGAGAGAAATCGTAATTTTACTGAGTGGCTTCACGAAAAAATAAGCAGCACTTTAGGCCACCTAAATACAACTCGTCAGTTGTATCCAGTTGGAATCCAAGCGTAATGTTTTTAATTATATGGTTGTGCTTTGATTTTACGCTGAAAATATTTATAACTACGTCAACTTTATATTAAAACATTTATTATCTTTTCAGTTGTATTAAAATGTAAAATATGATATATGTCAGCTTATTGCTTTCTGGAGAACAGTCAAGGTTTAAATTTGGTACAATGAATCGGACACTCATGTAAATCGACATGGTTATAAGTAGTGAAGAGTGAACATTTATATAACAATGACATAGTGACATAGTATGATATAGTGACATAGCAACCATGACATAGTTACGCATGGTCTGATTGGTTAAATTTCCCGCTGCAATCTGATTGGTAAAATGATGTCACGTGACTCCAGCCTGTTAATGATTAATTAGTGATAACCCGTTGCTGAGCAATTTTATAAGGCTTATATAATACTCATCAGTACAAATACAAAGTTTACATTGTAGTATTTACTTAAACAACAAATCTATTATTTCACGATCACCTGATAAGATATTCATATACTGGACGTTTGTAAGGATACTATATTTACACCTTTAAAGAACAGGCTTAACTACAGGAGATATTTTAAAAAGATTATGGAAATTTTTCATTTGAAACCTCAAGATGTCAGTAAAGTCGGGGGGACCATAGTAAAACCATTAGAAACTGGCCTTCCAAGAATGTTAAAGTTAGCCGTAGGACCGCATCGTCAACAAACAATTCTCTTCCCAACAGTTGACCATGTATTTATGAAAACGTACGATGTGCTTGATGTACAGTCGAAACATGATGGATCACTACAAGTACCATTTGAACCGCAATCATCCGATCCATGTGCTGGAAGGATAACAAGACAGGAATTTGACTATTTCATAGAATGCTGTCAAGAGAACGGTTGTATATTTTCAAAGGACAACAGAAATTCTTCAAAATATGAACAACAAGCCCTATATACATATGGTTTAGACCACTGGCAACACTTAGGCAGAGGATATGAATTTACGATTTCCAGCAACTACAAAACGTTAGAAATCGTGTCTAATAGGTTCAATGAAGAGAAGGAGATTTACGAAGTAAACTGGAGTCTGTGTTTAACATTTCAACAAATACACGACTTATTAGATAATATATGGCTCATCATGGAGCCTTTGACACTGGCCGAGAAAAACTGCCTAGCTACTTTACATGACGATCATCTGAATCAAATGGGCACATGGTCATGCAACAACGTTTGCCAATTCATGAACCGCAGGACAGTTTTTGATAAAGCACTTAATGACCAATAACACTATGCTTGCTGTCATTTTTGTATCAGACAATAGACATGTTTATTAGAATATTATTTGAATAAACATACATATGTAATAACGACAATTGCAGTCATCTCCGTTTAAATTCCTAAATCAAACCTTTACACCATGACACCAATAGTAATACCAATACTTGAATTTCCCGCTGCAATCTGACTGGTCAAATGATGTCACGTGACTCCAGACATTTACCTACATTTTAACTCAAGATTCTTAACAGTTAGTTAACCATATCGAGTAAATGACTTACTCAAATGAGTAACTTAATTGTGTAAATGAGCTACCCAATTGAATAATGAACAAACTCAATTGAGTGAATGGATACCTCAGTTGAGTAAATTTGTAACTCAATTAAGCAAATGAGTTAATCTATTGAGTATATAAGTCACTCAAATTAGTAAATGGGTAACTAAATTGAAAAATCGATCAAATGAGTAACACAATAATGTAAATGAGTAACTCAATAGAGTCAATGAGTAAGACAATTAAGTAAATGAGTAACTCCACTGAGTAAATGAGTAACTCAGTAGAGTAAACGAGTAACTCAATTGAGTAAATAAGAAACTCAGTTGAGTAAATTAGTAACTCAATTGAGTAAATGAGCAACTTAATTGATGTATTGAGTTACTCAATTAAATGAGTCCATTAGTGACTCAAATAAAAATAAATTACTTAATGGAATGAGTAAATGGCTAACTGGGATGAGTAAATGAGTAACTCAAATGAGTAATTGAGTGCTGGATTATCAAATTTGGCTGATGCATTTATTCAATCGAGTGACTCATTTACACAATCGAGTTACTCATTACTCAATCTAGTGACTCATTTACTCAATCGAGTTACTCAATTTACTCATCCGAGCAAGTCAATTACTCATTCTCTCAATTTTACTCACCAATGACTCAATTATTCAAATGAGTTACCGATTTACTCATTAGAGTTACTCATTTACTCAATTGAGTTACTCATTTTACTCATTCGAGTAAAAATTATAATGGATAACTGCGCTTGTGCGGAAAAAAAAGACAAATAATTTGGCCCCCCCCCCCCTTGCCCAAAAACTGTTTGCTCCCATATGACACAAATGTTCACTTAACTAATAAGATATTTAAAATGCATTAAGATGACATTAGATGACTATGACATTAGCAAGATGGTCAATTACTCATTCACTCAATTTACTCACCAATGGCGCATTTATTCAAATGAGTTACTCATTTATTCAATCGAGTTACTCATTTACTCAATTGAGTTACTTAATTGACCCATTCGAGTAAGTCAATTACTCATTCACTAAATTTGACTCGCCAATGACTCATTTATTCAAATGAGTTACCAATTTACTCATTAGAGATACTCATTCACTCAATTGAGTTACTCATTTACTCAATTGAGTTAATCCTCTAGCCCAGTTATCCATTATAATTTTTACTCGAATGAGTAAAATGAGTAACTCAATTGAGTAAATGAGTAACTCTAATGAGTGAATCGGTAACTCATTTGAATAATTGAGTCATTGGTGAGTAAAATTGAGAGAATGAGTAATTGACTTGCTCGGATGAGTAAATTGAGTAACTCGATTGAGTAAATGAGTCACTAGATTGAGTAATGAGTAACTCGATTGTGTAAATGAGTCACTCGATTGAATAAATGCATCAGCCAAATTTGATAATCCAGCACTCAATTACTCATTTGAGTTACTCATTAACTCATCCCAGTTAGCCATTTACTCATTCCATAAAGTAATTTATTTTTATTTGAGTCACTAATGGACTCATTTAATTGAGTAACTCAATACATCAATTAAGTTGCTCATTTACTCAATTGAGTTACTAATTTACTCAACTGAGTTTCTTAGTTACTCGTTTACTCTACTGAGTTACTCATTTACTCAGTGGAGTTACTCATTTACTTAATTGTCTTACTCATTGACTCTATTGAGTTACTCATTTACATTATTGTGTTACTCATTTGATCGATTTTTCAATTTAGTTACCCATTTACTAATTTGAGTGACTTATATACTCAATAGATTAACTCATTTGCTTAATTGAGTTACAAATTTACTCAACTGAGGTATCCATTCACTCAATTGAGTTTGTTCATTATTCAATAGGGTAGCTCATTTACACAATTAAGTTACTCATTTGAGTAAGTCATTTACTCGATATGGTTAACTAACTGTTAAGAATCTTGAGTTAAAATGTAGGTAAATGTCTGGAGTCACGTGACATCATTTGACCAGTCAGATTGCAGCGGGAAATTCAAGTATTGGTATTACTATTGGTGTCATGGTGTAAAGGTTTGATTTAGGAATTTAAACGGAGATGATTGCAATTGTCGTTATTACATATGTATGTTTATTCAAATAATATTCTAATAAATATGTCTATTGTCTGATACAAAAATGACAGCAAGCATAGTGTTATTGGTCATTAAGTGCTTTATCAAAAACTGTCCTGCGGTTCATGAATTGGCAAACGTTGCATGACCATGTGCCCATTTGATTCAGATGATCGTCATGTAAAGTAGCTAGGCAGTTTTTCTCGGCCAGTGTCAAAGGCTCCATGATGAGCCATATATTATCTAATAAGTCGTGTATTTGTTGAAATGTTAAACACAGACTCCAGTTTACTTCGTAAATCTCCTTCTCTTCATTGAACCTATTAGACACGATTTCTAACGTTTTGTAGTTGCTGGAAATCGTAAATTCATATCCTCTGCCTAAGTGTTGCCAGTGGTCTAAACCATATGTATATAGGGCTTGTTGTTCATATTTTGAAGAATTTCTGTTGTCCTTTGAAAATATACAACCGTTCTCTTGACAGCATTCTATGAAATAGTCAAATTCCTGTCTTGTTATCCTTCCAGCACATGGATCGGATGATTGCGGTTCAAATGGTACTTGTAGTGATCCATCATGTTTCGACTGTACATCAAGCACATCGTACGTTTTCATAAATACATGGTCAACTGTTGGGAAGAGAATTGTTTGTTGACGATGCGGTCCTACGGCTAACTTTAACATTCTTGGAAGGCCAGTTTCTAATGGTTTTACTATGGTCCCCCCGACTTTACTGACATCTTGAGGTTTCAAATGAAAAATTTCCATAATCTTTTTAAAATATCTCCTGTAGTTAAGCCTGTTCTTTATAGGTGTAAATATAGTATCCTTACAAACGTCCAGTATATGAATATCTTATCAGGTGATCGTGAAATAATAGATTTGTTGTTTAAGTAAATACTACAATGTAAACTTTGTATTTGTACTGATGAGTATTATATAAGCCTTATAAAATTGCTCAGCAACGGGTTATCACTAATTAATCATTAACAGGCTGGAGTCACGTGACATCATTTTACCAATCAGATTGCAGCGGGAAATTTAACCAATCAGACCATGCGTAACTATGTCATGGTTGCTATGTCACTATATCATACTATGTCACTATGTCATTGTTATATAAATGTTCACTCTTCACTACTGTTATAACATTGAACTCAATGCAGTAAATTAGTTATTTCTATGAATCACAGCGGGATTGGTTTCATTTTATATGATTGCCAACTCTGGCGTTTTTTTTGTAAATGCTTTTGACCGCTGTAAATGTGAAACTGATACAGTATTATTCAATTGTTTTATGTCTTGGTCACATTTGCTCCGATTTTCACTACGGCGCCCGGCCGATTGAGTATTGTGTTCAGAAATGTATTCAATTTTGAACAAAATACTCGCAGCAAATGTGATCCAGGCATTACACAGCGGTATTTCGAACATACTATTGTTGCTTAACCACGACCTAGCCAATTTTAAAATCATACTCCTTATTTAAATCCAAGTAAACGATCAATGTCTAGGTATTTGGCGTTTGATGATACTATGGCCCTTGGCGAATTATGATTAGATGAAGCGAGGTCAACATTAATGTTTCTTGTACAAGGTCATCCCAAGGTCTAAGATAAATATTTAGGTATTTTACGTTTCAAGACCTTTGGACAAATTCGATTCAACGATGTATTAAAGTTAAAATGTATACAGAGATAAAATAGGTTATCTCCTATCGTTTCCTTGTGTATACGTTTATGTCTCTGCGTAATAACGCAGATGCGAGCAGGTAGTTACCAATCTCACCACAAGGTGGCTCGTTCGGGTCAGATAGCATGGCGGGTATGGTAGAAAGTTCCCTTTAACTTAAAGTACATCTGTTTTCGTGGTTCAATTTTCATATCACCCTTAAAATGTATCTAATAGCAATGCAATTAAAATATGTCCAGTGAACGAAAATGCAATACAAGAATAGATATTTCACTTTTTGTGATTTTGTAACAATGGGGTTATTTTTTGTATATGTAACATGGTCATTTTCACATTTTATATTATTACTGTTCATATTAATCAATCCCTATTCATCTCAATATAACAGGTCCCTAAGTAGGTTGTTTGCAGTTTTACTCTTTTAATACCATGTTCACTTTTCACCTTGAGTTATTCAACTATGCAAACTGTGTCAGTTTTATATATCTATTGTTCCCCTATATGGTCTTTCTCACTCACATGTAGCTGAGTTTGCATTGGGTGTTGGCTTGTCAGTAGTTGCTGTAAGAGTTCATGTTGTACATTACAGAGCATTGTATTTTAAACATTGAAGTTTGAAATATACTATTTTATATATATTTTAATTTGAAGTTCGAGTTATTTTATTGCCACCCACGGGCCTTCCACACGCCCATTTACATATAACAATTTGAAACAACTTTAAAAAGTGAGCAATGTCAGTGTTGTGATAATAAAGAATTTTCGTTATGAGTTGTTTCAAAAACTTATACGTATACTTATACTTTAAAGGGTCTTGTCGAACTAAAATCAATTCAAATTGATTTTCATAATCTGTACCAAGTGGGGCATAAC